TCGGCCAAGATCCTAGTTCATTCTTACCAGAACAGGAAAAATCTTTAAATAATGTTTGAATTAATTATATACCATTATTTACACCCTTCACCTAAAGCTGTAATTATTACATTCCCATCTTCTAAGCTCAAATACCTAACTTTGGGGACACAAATCTATATTATATGTGCTGCAGTTACCTGAATTTTAAAGTTACATTTGCAATTAATACCCCGAGTTCCCCGAGCAACAGCTGGGGACCCTCACTCGCTCACTTGGCTATGCATTGCAGGCCATAGCATACATTTCATTTGATTTAGTTGTCCTCGTCACAGGACCTCCACTCCACTCGAATCCTCCTCCTCCTGGCTCTGGTGTTGCCGCCACTAAACACATTGTGCGCAAATCCCAAGCCAAATCCCCGGCGTGCAGTTGGATTCGGATGAGAATGGGAATTGCATTGGCATGCGAACTGCATTGACAGCATTTTGGAGTGGGAATCCGGAGCGGAGCGGGTCAGTGGATGTCCGGCATGGGCGTGCCATTTTAGTGGCATGTTTGTGCTAATTTATTACGCCTGCGGAGCATAATGCCAGCGTTGCCTGGTGCCTGCTGACTGCTGCCACCTGCCACCGATCTTCTCCTGCCACATGCCTCATGCCTCCTGCCACTTGGGGCAGCCGAGGGGACATTACAAATCGGCAAACAGAGAGACAGGGAGAGATAGCAGAGGCCTTGCCTCGGGGAATGCTGCAAATGAATGTCTAATTAATTAAAGTGCGAACAGCACTTTGTTGTTGTTTTTGGCCTCCCCGAATTGGCATTAATTGCCGCTGTCCCCTGACTGTCGCCCTTCACTACCCACACCTTCTGTCCAAAATCATTTGTTTGATTTATAGAAATTGCAGCTCGAAAATGCTTGAATTTTGTGTGCTGGCACATGAAAAAAATGTAAACTTTTAGTCAAAAACTATCATAATTTCCTGAGGGAAAGGCAATAAGAGAAATGATTTATGTTTCAAATAAATTAAAAACCAATAATACAGTAATCTCTATTTTATATATATATATTATATTAATAATAAATAAATAATAGTAATTTTTTTTATAACCTTGCATGGTATTACAATTTCAGTCAGAATCTTAAAACGCAGTGAAGGAGCCATTTCCGGCCCTATAAATCATATATATTCTTGATCAGGATCAACAGGGGAACCTTTCTGGGCATATAGGAAAAACATTTTTTTTTTAAATTTTTTTCGAAAATTTTTGTTGTTAAAAAGAACTTTCAACAGTTTGAAAAATTGGAAAAAATTAAAATACTTTAAAATTTAAATCTAGGTATGCAGACTTTTAAATCTATTAAAAACTAGCACAGAACAGCTCTCCGAATCAAAATTAATGGATTTTTGGCAGAGTTATGAGTTTTTTAAGCTTTGGGTTATAGGAAAATCATCATATTGAATATTTATACCCTTACAGGGTATCATATATTCAGTCAGAAGCTTAAAACGCAGTGAAGGAGTCGTTTCTTACCCTATAAATCATATATATTCTTGATCGGCATGAACCGGGGAATCTTTCTGGCCATATAGGGAAAGAAATATTTTTGAAAATTTTTTTCCGTTTTTTTCTTTGTTGTTTAAAAAGATTTTTAGTATTTAAAAAAATTTACAAAATTTTAAGTACTTTAAAATTTAAATCTAGGTATGCAGACTTTTAAATCTATTACAAACTAGCACAGAACAGCTTTTCGAATCAAATTAAATGAATTTTTGGCTGATTTTTATACCCTTGCAGGGTATTATAATTTCAGTCAGAAGTTTGCAACGCAGTGAAGGAGGCACCTCCGACTATATAAAGTATATATATTCTTGATCAGGATCAACAGCCGAGTCGATCTAGCCATGTCCGTCTGTCCGTCTGTCCGTCTGTCCGTTTCTACGCAAACTAGTCTCTCAGTTTTGAAGCTATCTGAATGAAACTTTGCAGTTAGTCTTCTATATACTCTCACTCGTATATATGTCGGAACGGGCCGGATCGGACGACTATATCATATAGCTGCCATAGGAATGATCGGAAAATTTTTACAAAAAATTTTTATCTTTTTCAGTTTTCAATAGAATTGGATCAAATTTGAGATATAGCCATTTTACTATACTCTACAATTTTGCAGAAAATTTTATGACAATCGGACTACTATATCATATAGCTCCCATAGGAACGATCGAGAAATTAATACAATTAAATTTATAACCTTTTCAGTTTTCAACTGATTTTCATCAAATTTTAGGTATAGTCATTGAATTTAAGTCTTAAATTTTGTGGTAAATTTCATGAAAATCGGACGACTATATCATATAGGTGCCATACAAACGATCGTTTGATGTGGAGGAAAAATGCAAATCAGTGAATGTAAAACTGCAAATATAATATGTATAGGTGAATGAAATGAAAACAGGTATTACTTCATTGTTTTTTAACACAAATATATATAATTTGTATTGTATGGTTTTTTATTCATAGAAGTTCTATCTGAAAGGGTATATAAACTTCGGCGTGCCGAAGTTAGCTTCCTTTCTTGTTAAAACTTGGGTTTGTCGGAAAACTATTCATAAAAAATATCAATAAATATCGATATCGGTTTTTAGTTTGATCAACTATTTCATAAGCATATAGCAAGGATATAAAAACTTTAGCTTCTCAAAGTTAGGTTTCTTTCTTGTTTTGTTATGTATTTTACATTTGTTCTTTTAAATTCTAGAATTATTTTGTAGTTTAAACAATACAACAAATAATACACTTGTAACAAAACTACACAACTCAATTGTTTCGAGTGTAACTTTCTATGTTTTTACTAAAAATGCCGCGGAATGTTGGCCCAGCAGCCATTGCAGCTTCCTCGTCTGGTCGCACAAAGCTTAGCGGGGACATAAATAATAAATTTGCAACGTTTGCCATTTTACCCAGCCCATGTGTGTGTGTGTGTGTGTGTGTCGCGACATTAACAATTTATCAGTGAATCGAAAAAGCAACAAGCCAATAAAAATCACTCCGTTTGACCGGTGACATTGCAACTACAGCCGCCAATTCCATGCCATTCCATGCTGCCTTTGCCCCCATTCCCAATTGCATTCATGCCGCCTTCCCCTCACATTTTGAACTCTGACCCCCTGTTCAGCCATTTTTTGACCCCCTTTCCTGCTGCCCCCTTTGCTGATACCCCCTGTTGTCGTAACAAAATGTCAAACGACGCTGCAATATTGATGTTAGAAATACGAGGCTTCAGTGGAATATGTGTGTGCCTGAAAACACTGGGAAATGTTTCAATTATTTGAAAATTGAAGCTTTAATATAAAGCTAAAGGGGAAAATGGGGTTTTCTCTCAGTGCTGTAATTTTTTGTGAAGATTTCCTGGCAAAGAGATGTAAAAAAGTATTTTTTAAATTGCATTATGTTTATGCAAATTAAATATGCAATTTTTTCTGTAGGATTTAGCGCTAAAATACTTCTTAAATACATTTCTATCTATATTGGCCGTAGGGGAAGCCTATGTTGATTTTCAGGTGCTTAACTTGCAGTATTTTTTTAAACTATGGCTATATTAATAAATAATAAATAACAAATAATTTATTAATTAATTATGGCTGATAATATATATGTTAGAATGGGTTAGACCGGACATTAAGAAACAAACAGAAAAAAATTACGATTTACAATTACAATTGGAATTTGATACTAATAGGGTGATAGCTGCAATAAAAATTATCTGTCAATCTAAAGAATATTGTTATGTATTGTTATGTTATGTATTGTTATGTTATGTATTCTTTCTATAATTAATTTAAGCATTTTTCCTTTTAACTAAAAAAGTTAGTTCTACCTCTTTTTATAAATTTAAAAAAAAAAAAAAAAGGTTTATCCTAAAACTGCTTCGCCATCTGACGCTCATTTACTGAACCCTTTCGTATTTCTACTTTATTTACCTGGCGACATCTAGGAATGTCTACATTTCCTTTTTCTGCCTAAGCCACCTATTAATTGAATTTTAAAATTAAAATTTGTGTAAAATTAATTGTTACTCCAAAAAGGTTCTTGTACAAAATAGGACACTGGGTTCTGGTACCCGCTAGGTTTTCAAAAAAATCTCAATAGGTGGCGCTAGCCAAAATGAAATACTAAAAAATACCCAATTTCCGTTTGGTTTCTTTTATTTTCTGAAAAATGTGAAAATAATGGAAATTACAATTTTCTCCACACAATTTGTTGATGATGATTTTGGGGGCTCTTTATTAGAAAATACTCTATTAATTTAAATTATTTTTACAGGATATCATGCGAGCTACGAGCTACCGAAATGTACAATAAATGTTAAAATATATATATCATTTATGTATATATATTTGTTAGGGGCACTCCTTCAAGGAGCCTGAATATGTAGCTTGTTTTCTGGGTTTTATTATTATTCATTATTATATATTTTTTTGTTGCTTAACTATCACTCGTTTCGCCAGAAAGAAGAAACCCCAACCAACCCGTAATACCGATCTTGGATCTATGATCTCCACTCCTGACTTTGGCATAGAAAAATATTGTGAAATAAGAAAAGAACAAAGGAAAATAAAGCTGTGTTTTTCTTTTCAAATGAAAATTGCATTTATTTTGGCATGGATAAATGTAGTTTGACGTATCAAAAATTAAACTAAACACACAGTTACTAAATTAAAATGTAATAATCACAAATATACGCCAGTTGCCCTTTCATCTTCGCACTTTGTAATAATAGTAATTGCTTCATATCACCAAAAATCCGACCTCCAACTATCACAAGGGAATGGTTGCTCCTGATTCTGTCTCCACTATTGCACAATCTCTACTGGGTTTTATTCTTGATTTCAAAGGATATTTAAGAGAGAGAGAGAGAGGGTTTTTTGGGAAGGAGTGAGGTTGATGTTCTAACAATTTGTTTTGTGTTTCGTGTATGATTATTTTTTCAACCTACTTAAGTTCAGACTCTTTTCTGCTTGGTCACAAGAATTTATATACCTCGGTGTGTAAGTTTAAGTAAGTGTATGATGGGGCATTCCTATTTATATATATATATTTTTTTTATGAGTGTGTATAAATTCCGTATTTTGTATATATATAGTTGGGTCTCTATATATTTTTAGAAACGTTGAATGCTTCTTTTGTCTGCCTTCTGTCTGGGAGAAATTTAATTGAATGAAGAATGCGGTAGAAAGCTATGCCTAGCTACAGTCCAATTTCTTCTTCTTCTCCTGGCGCCTTTCCCTTTCCCTTCCCTATAAATTGTATGTACAGGTGATGTCTAAATAATGATTATAACCTAGGGCTATGAACAAGTTCTCTCGATCGCTTAACGAATCATGTGCAGCTTCCATCGTAGCACAAAATAGGCAACGATTCGCAGGGCAAAGAAGATGCCAATGAGGGCGACGGCATCTACCCAAAATAGAGCATTATCCATAGACATTTCTTCGAGGAACTTCTTGGGCACCCGATAGTGGCAATACATTTGATTGCACTGCATTTTGGCACGATCCATGCCATAAATGGCCACCATGGCACCTGAAATTAAATGATTTTTGTGTGAGTTAATTACCTCTTGAGAAGTAATAGAAGCTTAAACTCACCCTCGAAGCCGTAACGTACATAACTCACGTACGTCACCCACTGCAGGTATCCCGGTATGGTGTCAAAGTTCACAAAGAAACCGGAGAACAATATCGTGGGTATCGTTGTCACGGGACCAAGGAACACACCCGTCTCAATATTCATTCCCGCTCCAATTAGGAGACCCAATGACTGCGCCACCAGGGAGTTAAGCACACAAATGAGCACAAACATTGAGACGCGCTCCAATTCCATGGGCTGGGAGGTGAGATAGTAAACCACCAGGACATAGACGCTGGAGAAGACAATCTATAATAGGAGTAAAAGGTTTTATTATTATAGGAAAGATATCAAGAGCTTTAGAGGAGCTCACCTGAAATGGCATGTCCGCCAATGTCTTGGCAAAGTAAAAGGCCTTCAGGGAGTACCAGTAATTGAGATGTTCCCTCACAAACACCGACATCTCTGTGGGAACTATTCAATAGAATAAAACTATATAAATTCCATTATAAAAACATTAAATCTAAGACAACTTACAAGTCAAAATGGTGGGCATCATGGCCGTAAAGGTGGTAAACAGTGAGACAAAGAAGATGCATCCTGCATTGCTCATAATCTTGCTGGCCTCGTTCCCTACATCATAGTAAATCATCCCAATGATGGCACCCACAATGATGTGCGAAAAGAGACGCATGTGGGTGAGCATTCGGTCGCGGAGAATGGTGCGAAAGGATCGCTTGAGCAGAATCCAGAACTGCGTCCAGCCGCTGGTGGGAAAACCCGTCTTATTGGGCAACGTGACCACACTCTCGTGTGAATCCAGCAGGGAGGTCATGCATCCCACCACGGCACTTGGACCCGATCCTACCGCATTGTGTGTGCCCTTCGAGGAACTGAAGCTACAGCTATCATCCAGGGCTGTTGTGGGCATGTTGACGACACTGCAGTCCGAGTTCTGGGACTGCTGCGACTCCAGTTTCGGTGGTTTCAGCTCTGCGGGATCATCTCCAACCGTTGGGGGTTCCAATTGTCCTCCTTCCCTCTCCTCCAGCGGCGGTTTCTCATCCTCCAGGGTGAGGGTGGCAGTCGTCGCAGTGGCTCCGCTCTCAGCCTTGATCACCTCGTTTTGATTGGACTTCTTCGGGGCCAACGTTCGGACATAGTCCTTGTGCGCATACTTTTTGCAGGCTCCACTTTTCACAGCTTGAACTAGCTTTGGCACCGCATCGCCGTACTCCCCGGATGCCACCTCCAGGACATAGTCAGCGGGATTGTGATACGAGGGGCACTCGTAGCCCAGGGACGATAGATATGGCACTAGACCCCTCACTCGTCCCTCGTAGACACACTGACCCTGGGCCAGCAAGTACAGGTGGTCGAATTTCTCAAAGAGACGCGCCGACGGCTGATGGATGGTGCAGACAATGGTGCGTCCTCCCCTGGCCAGTGATCTCAGCAGCGAGATGAGCTGGAAACAGGTGGAACTGTCCAGGCCGGAGGTGGGCTCATCGAAGAACATAACGGGTGGATTATTCACTAGCTCCAGGGCGATCGAGAGGCGTTTCCTTTGACCACCCGACAGGTTGCAGGTTAGAGTATTAACCGACTCCTTTAGGCCTATGGTCTCGAGGATCTCCTCCACCACCACCACTTTGGCGTAACTGATCATGTTCTTGCCCAGCTTAAGGTTGGCGGCCACCATCATGGCCTCCTTGACGGTGAGGTTGCCAATAAGGACATCATCCTGCATGATGTAGCAGGAGAGCTTCCGAAAGCGTCGCAAATTACGCTCCTTGCTGTTGATGAGCACCGAGCCACTGAGCTGGGCAGTTCTAGGAGAAGATAAGGAATGTTGGTTACTAGAACTCATTGGGAAATAGTATCACAGGACTCACTTGTAGCCAGCCAGGATATTCATTAGAGTGCTCTTTCCCGCACCAGAGGGACCCATAATGGCTGTGATCTCTCCATTCCTAAACTTGCCGGAAACACTCTTCAGGATGGTCTTGAAGCCCCGCCGATGTCCATCGGCCACCGAGTAAGAGATATCACAGAACTCAATGTCCACCGGCGGCCGCTGGGGCAGATGGGACAAAGCAATGGTGCCCTTTTTCTGGCCATTTGGACTGCCTGCGGCTGTGGCAGTAACGGCGGCACTACTATTGGCCACTTTGGGGGCCAAACCGTGATTATTGATGACATTAGTGCCCAGGCCACCATTGCAGAGATTGTTCTGGGACCTAAAAGAAAGTAGAGAAAGTAAAAATAGGGTTTAGTGAGGGGTTTAGAGGTTAGAGGAGCTTAATTCATGGTTCCTACTTGAGGCAGTTTTCGTGTGACCCTTGGAGGGCGCAGCTAACCCCACCATTTTTGGTCAACTTGGCCTGGACCATGGACAGAGAGCGTAAAGAGCGCTCTTGGAGCATTTCCGCATAGGCCTCGGCAAAGGCACTGGATCTCCTACGATGGATATCCGTTGTCTCAAAGCTGGAGTTTTGTATTCCTCCACTCTCGGAGCTAATACAACGAGTTAGCTTGAGTTCCATGATTAGGGCCTTCTTCTTCTCAGCAGCGGAGGCTCATGATGAACCCCCAAGTGACCTGGATCAGTTCGTAGGTCAGTCGATCAATCAGCCATTTCCCGCACAGCTCTCAATGATTGTTTCATTCATGAAAATACCTTGCCGAGTGCGTTTTCATTAGTGCTTGTTTGGTCGCATGTTTCGATTGATAAGTCCGACGACAAACTGCAGTGCAGGCCAATGCCAATTAACATTACATCTTTTGGGTGCAAGTTGGTTGAGGGAAATTGATTGATTGCTAAGCCGAAGCCCCGCGATGCGCCAGAAGAAGCAAGTGTGTTTGTGGGGTGCTTAAAGGGGCTTAAAGGTCAGCGTATCTATCTCCTGACAAGCCAGACAACCTGAGGAATGACTGTTTACGAATGGCACAGTGGAACCTGCCTAGAACAAGATACTCTACTTGATTGAAGGAATAGAAATCAAACTAATAATGTCTAACTTTAGAGAAAGTACTGTTTCCAATCTCAAGTGCTTCTAAATCACAACTTTTGCCTAGGCCTCTAGATAATTGTATAATAATTAGAGAGCTGTCTCTAAATATAGTTGCAACTTAATGGATTTTATAGACTTCGTGTACAGACAATTACGTTTTCAGCAGTCAGCTGTTTGGCTGTGAGCCATGCTAAGTGAATTCAGATACAAAGATACAAATACACTCACACAAAGATACAGATAAACAATTTTCAGCGTCACTCAGTTCGATTTGACTTTTGCTTTGTTTTGCTTTTGCTTTGGCCCCTCGAATACGATAAATATGAGTATGCCTCAGCTGCGGAATGAATACATATATATATATATCTAGTCGCAAATCGTTTTTCCCGCGAATATCTCGGTGCACGAGCACTCAAAGAGCGAGTACATTTCAAGTGCGCATGCACCCAGAGTGCATGTTAACGAACCCAACGACGAGCCGCAGAACGATGACAACGAACTCAACGAAGGCCCAACGAAGTTTTGCGAAATGTGCACCAAGACAAGACTCTTGTCTTCCACCATCTCCTTCTCCTCCCTCCTAACTAAACCCTTTAATTAAATTCAAATGGAGTTCAGTAGTCACGCAACCCCTTCCGGGTTTCTCTCTGTCTTTCGATTGCTTATCAATCTTAATGCGTGGTAATTGTTGCCAGGTTGGGGGATCGATGGCGGGCCCTATTTAATTGATTGATTGGGGGCCATAAAGCAAGCTACTGTAGTAAGTAAACTATATAGCACAATGTTTAATATACAATCCGGTGGCGAACCTTGGACAGTTACACTGATTAAGAGCGACCGGAAATATCCAGAGATGAAGCGCGCGCGCGGTTTAGATCATTCGCAGCAGCTTTGGCGACAATTAAGCAAAGCGACTGTGTTTTATTGCGATTAATAAAAGAATTAATCAAGGCAAGAATTGAAACAGGGGGGAAATTGGGGAGGAAAGCTAAAGCAAAGGCCTTGAATTAAACATTATTCATCACAGAGTTTGTCATAGTTTGTGGTAGTTTTTGTATGTAAAAAGTTCCTGACTCACAAGTTAACTTTAATTTAAAGCATGTGTGTGTTTCTCTGATGTGAAAATAATGCTATAAATTATTCCCAACTGATTGAAATGAATTCAGGGGCCTTAAGAGATTTAATTCTTTATTCCCTTCTATAGAAATCGAATGCCATTCAAAGCCCTATGAACAATTGAAGGAGGCTTTCGGCCTATTCAGGACTATTAAGGAAACGGGCAAGGCCAATCAAATGGGGAAAAGGATGTGTGTGTGTGGGCGTAGAACGTAGAACGTAGAGCGTGGGAGAGGGTCCTGTCCAGGACTGCTGGCTGTCAGCTGTGCCCTCGAAGCGGGGAAGAAGGTCAACAAGCCTCGCTTCGAGTGACTGACTGACTGACTGACTGACTGACTGACTGACTGACTGACTGACTGACTGACTGACTGACTGACTGACTGGAACTGACTTTTATGCCCTCAAGGATACGCAGGTTATCTTTTGAGAGGGCGTCACAGAGTCTGGCACTGCACTCTGCGGTTTTTCCGGCAAACTTCACATTACATAACCCGGCGAAAATAACAGAATAAACGAACAAGTTTCGCACGTGGCAGACATGGGGCAGTATAGCCGCTCTTCTTTTGATTTTTTCTAATAAGCACATAAATATTTAAGCCAGAAACCGAACACACTCGCCGCAAGCCGCTCTCTCACAGGACTAAAAAGCCGAACGGCGTCCAACGGCTGACTGCGGCACAGGACTTTGGGACAGCTTTTGGCTTGTTCGATTTTTCCAGGCACGCGGCGCCGCGAGGTCCTCGACTGTTGTCCTTCCCCCTACCTTTTGCCCAGAGGTTCTCACTACCCTTTCCTGTGCACAGAGTCCTTTAACAGGGAAGGGAAATACAGAGAGTATGTCTAACAAGGGGAAGCTTATGTAGATGGGAGGGTCCTTTATCAGTTTCTTTAATGAAACATTATTCCCACAAGATTGTCCTTCAATACTGATATTAAATATTCATATAGATTGATTAAATTCCCTCTTTAAGAGCATTTCCCATTCGTTGTTAGTTCCTAAACTTCCGCAGGACCCCTTTTGTCTGCCTTCTTCTTGTATTGTTTTGCCGAGTCTTATGGCTTTTACGACTTTTGCCGTTTGTGCGGCGTTTCATTCACTGTTACATGTTTTTTACACCCAACACCCTACACACACACACACACATGTGTGTGCATTTGTTTCTGTGGCTTATTATTTATGGCAGTGCCGACAGAGGTAACAGCAATAGGGGGCGGAGCTGGTCGAAAGGACACACATTGGGTTAGCTTGGCATTTAAGTCGCTCTTTATGGCTGTCCTTCCTGTTCGTTTTTCCTTTTCCTTTCCCTGAAAGCCTTGGACTTGGCCCCACCTGATTGCCGGGATTGTGCAGCATACAGAGCTCAAGTCCCTGAAGACCTCAGGATACCTATTACCTATTACCTTTACCTCCCATATTTTCACACAAGTTTAATTAGATTGTGACCTGCATTGATTTCCATGTCAACGTGGGCGTGTGCACTTAGCATAGGATTTTCCATTTGCATTTTAATTAACCAGACTGCCAAAGGACCTTTCAAGGACTCTGCTGACAGAGTCTTAAACCCCACAGGCTTTCCAGTTTTAAATTATTTTTTTACAACTGTGCATAATTTCTCACAATGGGAGGGGAGTGAAAAGTAGAAGTGGGAGTAGCTGGGGGCGTGGTTGGCACCATTTCTTGCCATGCCAACACGCGATTTGTGAGACGGCGGAGTCGAGTCATCGATTTTCCGGAGCTTCCTTTGGCTTCTCCTCGCTCCGACACACCTTGATGTCGTGGCAGGTGGCATGTTCCTGGCAGAAGGAAGATACCACACAGATGCGTGCTAATTTCAACTTGACGCGGTCTTATTAATAGCTTCTCCTCCTGGCCTCTTCCACACTCCCATTTCCTCTCATTGCTTCCTGGCTCTGATTTGTGTCTAATGGCGCTAAAAATGGAAGTGTCGCTGCGGCAGAAAAAATGGCCTCTCCACCCACAGTCAGGGCGAGACCTTTGTCCTTTGGTCGTCACAAAACGGAAATTGCAGAATGCAATACTATACAGGATATAAGTGAATTCAATTCCCTCTTGTAATCCCCCAGCTGAAGTGACTCTACCCACTTGGACCTAATCCCCCTCTAATGCAATTAAAGAAAAAAGGAACTGGGAAAAGGAAGTGAGACTAAGACTTACCCATGGTTGCTCTGCTTTAGGTCATTGGTTAGCTTCAGTTGGTTGAGGAGAGGCACTGGCTCCTGCTGCTTGGAGCTATTGGAGCTATTTCCAGGATTAGAGGCGATCGTGGTGGTGATCAGATTGCCACTGGACGTGTAGAGCACCGCATTTGGCTTGGTTGTGGTGGCCGCTGAGTCGGAGACCTTGTTGGGACTCTTGGCCGCCGGCAGTATGACGGCATGGGAGGAGCACTTGTCCACCAGCGGGACACTGGAGGCCTGCAGCTCATTCATGGTTGGGATTTGGTTTTTCTATTTGAGAGAAAATTCCTTTCTGTTTTGCTAGCTTTCTTTTTCAGTTGGCACAAAGTTGCGTCAGCATTTGGCTAGCTTTTTGTGTATTTATTCTTTGTTGTGACTCTCGAGGGTTCCGGTTTAATTGGGATTTGAGAATTGGCATCTGCATTGGAAGTACGATTGTGTATAATAATCTTGTTCTCAGTTCAGATCTGCAAAGAAAGTATATAAAAGAGGAATCAGACATAATTCCAAGTGGAGGTAACACGCGGCAATTGCTTATTGATTCCACTCTCTAAAGAGCACCCTCGCACAGCATTACATCACAGCATTATGAGAGGGGACAGGAAATGGCGCCTAAAGCGGAGGTTGCTCAATGGACGAACATGAATTTCTAATTACTGAACAATGCCAGAAGCAGCCGAGACCGAGACCGAGACCCAGAACCACTTGAGCAACGAATATACATTGACACCCTTCAAGAACGCTGTGTCTGTGTCACGATAATCACTCGGATACTTGGATGTTCATTCAGTATCCAATCCAATGTCACTCTGGGCCAGGCTAGGCACTTGAAATGGCCTTAGTTCCGGCCAAGAAGTGCTGGTCAAGTTTAGTGCATGAGAACCCGGCGGAGAAACATTGGGGGAGACCCTCGTAGCACATGCCCAAAGCCAATGCATCGATGATTATTCTGGGTTTACATGCACTGGATTTTTTGCAGGTGGCCGCCTTGTGATAAGATTTCGATTCATTTAACAGTTTAACGATGAGAATTCTCACAAAGCCCATACACTGGGGGAAATTTTTACCTATAAACATATACTAGAAGACATTCTAAGGCATAGGAAAGAAAAAATTTATGGGAATTCTATTTCCTCTAGCATTTTATTTATTTCATTACGAAATGTATCTGCAAATATGTCATACTTAGTTAGGTTTATCAATTAAATATATAATAATATAAGAAAAATATACAATAACTCATAAATGTCCAAACTTCTCATTAGAATTGGGAGAGCAAGTTTAAAGAATTTCTTTTGGTATATAAAATTCAGAAGAATTGGTAAACTAAACCCCTTAAAAATCCCCAATTATAATCTACCTAATTTCCTGGGAAAACCTAATTTCTTAAGTTTTTAAAAGCTCTCTTTTCGTAGAAAACATTTTCACGCACTTCCAAAAACTTAAACCACTGAGGTAAACACTAAATAATTATAAAAAGTGTGTGTATTGTCTGCCTTTACTTCGAGAGATATCTTTGGTTGTTTTGTTTATTTACAGATCATGAAATTGTATGCAAATGTGCCATAAATAAGCCTGTTGCCTTCTGTTTAGCCTTAAATATACTCCCATTTCCTTCCAGTGTATAGATTTGTATTATATATATTTTTTTCTTATTTGTATTTGGCAAGTTAAACGATTTGCGATTAGATGGGCGGGGGCGATAGGCTTCCGAGCTACCGAGCCCGGGTTTCCTTTCCGCTAATCGGGCAGAGATGTAAGGCGCGTAATCGCAGATAGAGCCAAGGAACCCTAGGGTTATGGCCCGCCAATGGCCAGCTGTTGTCGGCCATCGACTTGTTATCACCACTCGAAAAAGAGAGGGAGAGCTGGCCACGCACAGCTGCGGATTTTCTAATCAGGGAATTGGGGAAACATAGGTGGGACGAGGTTTACCAAATTCGCGGAATTACCATCGAAAAGAGTGGGTTGGATGACCCGAAGTTAAG